GTGTGTGTATATGTGTGTGTAATTAAAAAGATTAACATTTTAATTTTTTATTTTTTGCAATGTATTATCTTGTTTTTTATTGCTATGTATTATCTTGAGACAATATTTTGCATGATTTTTATGTAAGAAAAAAACGACTTGCAATTAACATTTACGTGTTAATAGAAAGATAAAAATGTTGACCAAGCATCCTGTCACGCAGAAAAGTGGGTTTCATAATACGCCAGTCTTTAAAAAGAAGGAAACAATCGAGCGGCCTGAAAAGTCATTCACACGTGAATAACATCGATATACTGATGATAAAACTGCACTGTATGTGTTGCGTTAACAAACAGATTTGTTTTGGTGCATCTATGCTTTCGATACTTTCACAGAATTGAAGAAATTAAAACATTATATTAAGATCTTATTTTTATTTTTACTCTAGTTTAAATAATAGAATAAAATTAGTTGTTATAATTACAAAAATAAGTTTTTGAAACAAATAGATATTAAGATTATTATGAATATTAAGATTGGCATAACAAACGTTATTAAATAACGTTGTTATTAAATAAATTAAAGTTTTAGTATAAGTATTATAGTGTTGAACTTGGTAATAACTTTAATCAGTCTAGTATGATATATTTTAAAGATAAAAATATAGATAAATATAGATAAATATAGATAATATAGATAATATAGATAAATTCTATTATATACAACATAGAAATTGGTTACATTTAATTATAAAATCTGTAATTACATAATGAAGCTATATACGCTGTATGTGCTTAAGTAATGCAGCATTACCGTATTACTCATTGCTTTTTTAGTATATGTGCATTTTTTATTTTTTTTGTATTATTACGCATTAAATAAACGGATCATATTTTATTTGAATAATGAATTGCATACTATTTTTATTGTCATTTTCTGCAAATTTATTTATATATTTATTACACATACATATTAATAGTTACAAACTTTATCGTAAAATTTTTTAGATCTCTTAAGCGTTAAAGTTTCAA